AAAAAAAAAAAAAAAGAAAGATAATAAAAATCTATCTTAGAATAGATTGCTTAGTTGCTTAGGATACCAACCCTCCTTATGGGAGGAAAGAAAGGATTTTTAAAACAAAGCAAATTTGTGAAAGAGACAAATCAAGAAATCCAGGCAGAGAGGAGAAAGAGAATGAGGGATGTCCATGTGCTCATACCCTGGGCACCAGAGAGAACTCCTCCTCAGAACTTACCTGGTATGAAGGAAGGTGGTTCTGTTGGTAACTGACTAGGGGTCACTGAGGGTCCTGAGAAATCAGAAAATGAAAGAAGTCTGTGCTCTATTCATTGTGTGTCCTAAATAAATAAAGAAACATTTTTGTGACCCAGTTTCCTCACCCAGAAAATGAGCATAAAGAAGGTAATAGGGGCCAGGTGGGGTGACTCACACCTATGATCCTAGAACTCTGGGAGGCTGAGGTGGGTGGATTGCCTGAGCTCAGGAGTTTGAGACCAGCCTGAGCAAGAATGAGACCCCATCTCTACTAAAGATAGAAAAATTGGCCGGGCATTGTGGTGGGTGCTTGTAGTCCCAACTACTTAGGAGGCTGAGGCAAGAGGTTCACTTGAACTCAAGAATTTGAGGTTGTGGTGAGTTGTGATCATGTCACAGCACTCTACCCAGGGTGGCATAGTCAGACAATTTGAGAAAAAAAAAAGAACAACCATGCTGGACAGTTGTGGGTGTTTGTAAAGCCCACCTAGAGTATTCTAGGGCTAAGTAATAATGACAAGCCCTTGAGCTCTCACCCTCCTTTCTGAACCTCAGTTCTATCCTTTCTTCTGGATTCCTATGACTTATACCATCTCACTGTCCCTCTCTCACCATGGCATCAGTTTGGGGAATGGGGGAGGCACCACAGTGAGGGAGAAGGGGAATATCTAAGGAACAAAATCTCCACACACTCTCCAGCCACTCTGGCCTCCCTTCTATACCAATCTGCATCCTATCACAGGACATTTGTCCCTATAATTCCATCTACCTGCACCCACCCCTGACCACCTCTCCTCCTAGCTTCTACCAGAGCTGTGCATGTCCAGCACAGAGCATGTATCATGGTCACAATTATACATATGTTGGATGAATCTTTGATTAGAAGCTGTTTGCTCTACTAATCACCATGTGTGTGCATGTGTCTGTATGAGGAGAAAGGTATGGTGCATTAAGAGGGAGACTTAGCCCCCACCTGAGCCCTGGCCATAGCACAAGCACTTCCTCAATATGTCTGGTGGAGACATTGGAACCCCCAAAAGGCAAATCTGTAGGGACAGAAAGATTAGTGGTTGCCTGGAGTGAGAGGGGAAGTAAAGAGCCACTGCAAATGGGACTGAGGTTGGGGAGATGGATGAAAATGCCCCCAAACTGGGTCGTGGTGGTGACAGCACCACTCTGTACATTTACTAAAAATCATTGACTCTCACACTTCAAATGGGTGAATTTTATGGTATATAAATTATGCCTCTATAATGTCATTAAAAATCAAGTGTCCTTGAGTGGAATAATTCATGTTTATCAAGCATTTGTTAGACACCTGCTATGAAAGAGAAATCAGATGAATCAGTCTTTCTGGTGGTTACATTCCGGAGGGTGGAGGGGGACAGAGGATAAACATCATCAATCAGCACGATGTGACTCATATTGGATGGTGATAGTGCTGTGGAGAAAACTAAAACTGGCAGGTGGCTTCTGATGGGAGATGGAAGGAGCCATGAGAATATCTGGGGGGAGGACCCCAGCAAGTGCCAAGTCCCTGAAGAAGTAGTGAGCCTGCATATTCCAGAAAAGCAAGAAACCCAGTGTGTCTGAGGCTGAGAGAATGAGGGGAACATGTAGGAGAGGAGACCAGAAACACGGAGGTGACTTTATTAGGAGTCTTGAGATTTTCCTAGATTATATCAATGGGTCAAATAGGATGTTGAGGTGGGAGATTATCCATGTGGGCCCAGTGTGGTCACAAGGGACCTTATAAGTGGGAGAGTGAGGCAGGAGAGTTGGAGAGAGAGGTTTAAAATGCTGCCCTCTGACTTCAAAGATGGAAGAAGTTACCAAAAGCTAAGAAATGATGAACTCCTTGTGCTGGAATAGGTGTGGGAACGGACTCTCTCTAGAGCCTCAAGGAGGAGCTAGCCCTGCCGATATCTTTGTTTTATCTCAGTGAGACCCACTTTGGTTGGAGCTCTGACCTCCAGAATGACAGGTAATAAATTGGCAGTACACTGTGGTGTAAGTCAGCAAGTCCATTGTAACTCGTATTTATTTATTTATCTATTTATTTATTTTTTGAGACAAAATCTCACTCTGTTGCCCTGGGTAGAGAACCTTGACATCATAGCTCACAAGAACCTCAAACTCTTGAGCTCAAGTGATCCTCCTGTCTCAGCCTCCTAAGTAGCTGGGACTACAGGTGCCCACCACAGTGTGTGGCTATTTTTTCTATTTTTAGTAGAGATGGGGGGGGGGCTCTCATTCTTTCTCAGGCTGGTCTTGAACTCCTGAGCTTTAGGTGATCCACCTCCCTTGGCCTCCCAGAGTGCTAGGATTATAGGCATGAGCCACCCCGCCTAGCCCCATGGTAACTTGTTAAGGCAGCAACAGGAAATGGATACATCTTCCAAAGCTGGCTAGAGCCCAGGCTTCCTGCTTCCTGCTTCTGGAGCAGCGATGGTCCGGTCCTTGGAAGTGCCTCAGGTCCAACAAAGGCTGAGGAAGAAAGTTTGGTCTGCACACCCCTTACCTGTGACCACGAGCTTCAGGGGGTCGCTGGGGGCTGACCACGAGTACGGATCTGAGCTGGTAAAACTGTAGCATCGGTAGGTTCCACTGTGGGCAGCAGTCACAGTGATGAGGGGAAAACTGGCCCGGTACCATCTGTCAGGTTTCTTGTAGGGCCCCGGGTCCCCCTCCTTGTACAGAGCAAACTGGTCAAAGCTATATGGAGTCTGACACTGTAGGGTCACATCCCCTCCTGGGGACACTGCTGGGCCAGGCTGGGCTGAGAGCAAGGGCTTGGCATAAACTCCTGGGAGAAAAGGAGACTCTGATGTTAAATATGGTGGCCAGTCCCCCAACTCTGTCATATCTGGAGACCTTCCAGATGTGTGCCTCCTAGAGAGCTTACTCCCTCTGCCCAAGCTCACAGACAGGTGGGGTCAGGTCAAGGGGTTAAGAGAATGTCAGGTCAGGTCAAGAGGTTAAGGGAATGTATCTGTGGTCACATCCTGGTGTCTGGGCTCAAATCCTCATTCTGCCACTTAGGGACTTTGTAGCCCTGGAGATAAATCTCAATGTATCTGTGTGCCTCAGTGTCCCCTACTGTCAACTGGGATGATCAAATGAGACAATACATAGAAAGCATTTGGCAAAGCCACAATAAGGCGGTGGTGACAAAATAGGGTAAGTTTATACTGTATTCTAAGCTTGTATTATAGTCTATGAAAGATACAGTGTAAACTTTTATTAATGTACCAGCCTCCAGGAGCCATTCCAAATTCATGACATCTATCAGTTCATGACTCCTCACAAAGACCTATGAATTCATTTGTATTAATATCCCTATTTTATACATGAAACTGAGGCACGTGATGTTAAATACTCTGTTCAACACTAGGTAACGATACTGTAGTGTACAGGTGAAATTTGCTAAGAGGGTAGATCTTAAGTGTTCTCACCACATGCACAAAAGAAAGTAACTGTGTGAGGTGACGAGGCATCACTCAGCCCATGGGGACTGTTTCACAGTGTATACATGTATGAAAACATTGAGTTCTACACCTTAATTATACATAATTCTTGTTTGTCAATGATACCTCAATAAAGCTAAAGAAGTTTACAAAATTCAAAAATCAATAAATCAATAACTTGTCCCAAGTCATAAGTGGCAAAGCTGAAATTTACCATCAGGGAGCTCGACGCTGGGGTCTCCACCCTGCACACAAACCTGTACCACTCTAATGTGAGGGGATCAGCATTGTCGAGCATGGTGACACACACCTGGCAACCAGGCATCATTGAAACAAAAGCTGCCTGGTAATGATGGCTCATTCATTCACTCAACATCTTTTCTCCTAAGTAACTATTATGTGTTTGTCTCTAGGCTAACAAATAAAAGCCCTATGAAGAAGAAAAGATAAGCAACAACAGCCAAGATAAATGTGTGCCATGCCCGAGAGTGATGAGGGCCATTTTAACTAAGGCGCTGAGAGAAATACTTAATGAGAAGACAGCATTTGAGTCTGACCCCAAAAGAAGAAATGAGAAGCCAGACTGGCATGTCCCTGGGGCAGAGGGGAAGCCAAGGACATCCTGGCCAGAGAGGGAGGGAAGCAGGAAGAGGAGTGGCCTGTTCCTAGGGACCACTGTGCAGCCCTCAGGAATTAGGGTGAGGGGGAGGAAGGCATTCTCCAGGATACAGAATTTAATTTTTCCAAATAGGCCAGGCACGGTGGCTCACCTGTAATCCTAGTGTTCTGGGAGGCTGAGGCAGGTGGATCCCTTGACGTCAGAAGTTTGAGAACACCCTTAGCAAGAGCAAGACACCCCCCTCCCCATCTTTACTAAAAATAGAAAAAACTAGCTGGGCATTGTAGTGGGCACCTATAGTCCCAGCTACTCGGAAGGCTGAGGCAAGAGGATTATTTGAGCCCAAGAGTTTGAAGTTGCTGTGAGCAATGACACCACGGCACTCTACCCAGTGTGGCAGAGTGAGACTCTGTCTCAATAAAAATTATTTTCTCCAAATAATTAACATAGTTGAAAAAGTATTGAAAAATTGAAGTGTAGATCATTAAAATCCACATTATTCTAAATTTGAATATTTTGTTTACATCCCCTCAAAAAACTTTTATTATAATTTTACTTTCCAGGCTTCCATGGAAGCAAATGCATCAAAGTTTTTTCATAACCTACTTCTGGAAAAAAGATTAAGCATTTAAAAGCACATTAAGGAGCAGTGCCTGTGGCTCATAGAGTAGGGCACGGGCCCCACATACCAAGGGTGGCAGGTTCGAACCCAGCTCTGGCCAAACTGCAAAAACAACAACAAAAATAGACAGGTGTTGTGGTGGGTACCTGTAGCCCCAGCTACTCAGAAAGCCGAGGCAAGAGAATTACCTAAGCCCAAGATCTGGAGGTTGCTGTGAGCTGTGACACCATGGCACTCTACCAAGGGCGACAGAATGAGACTCTGTCTCAAAATAACTAACTAACTAAATAAATGAATAAAAGCACAGTAAGCTGGGTATGGTGGCCTGAGCCTGTAGTCCCAGCTACTCCTGAGGCCAAGAGGAGGATGGCATAAGCCCAGGGGTTCAAGGCTGCAGTGAACTCGACCATCTGTGGATAGTCACTGCACTCCAGTCGGGGCCACACAGTGAGACCGCCTCTCTAATTTTTTTTATTTTTAAATAAAGTGCTTTGACACACTGACAGATTTTCCCTCTGCTCTGACGCTCCTTGCCATGGACACTGCAAAGGTATAACCCAACTACAGCCCAAGATGAAAGGGAAAGAGGAGGGGGAGGGGAGGAGAGGTGGGAGAATGGGTGGAGGGAGGGTAATTGGTGGGACCACACTTATGGTGCGGTTTACAAGGGTACAAGTTAAATCTACTAAGTGTAGAATATAAATGTCTTAACACAGTAACTAGGAAAATGCAGCGAAGGCTATGTTAACCAGTTTCATGAAAGTATTTCAAATTGTATAAAACCAGCACATTGTACCCTATAAACTGCATTAATGTACACAGGTATAATTTAATAAAAAAATAAAATAATAAACTTGTAGTATTTCATTCATCATCGGTAGTTTTGAAATTGGACTTTAAAAAATAGTATTAAAATGTTATTAAAATATAATCATGAATTTGTGCCTCCCCTCCCTACCCAATGCACACTGTCCTCACCCTAATCCCGGCCCCGTGAGGGACTCACAGAACTAGGGATGCATCCCTGGGCCCTGAGTACAGCCCCTGCACCCTCAGCCCATCCCCTTCAAGTACCAGTGGCTATCACGTCCAGCTCGTCGCTGGCAGACCAGAGGCTCCCGATCTGGTAGGAGCAGCGGTAGCGGCCAGCGTACTCTCTCCTCATGGCCGGGATGGAGAGGAAGGCCTGGTCCTCGTACTTGCCGGACCTCAGGTTCTCCAGGCGGTACAGGTCCACGCCTGGAGGCCCCTGGCACCGGATGGTCACTGGCTTCTTCAGGGGCACCAGGGAGCTGGGCACAGCCTGCAGGGAGGGCTTGGGGAGGGTCCCTGGGGGAGAAGCCAGCAGGGGTCAGCCCATGTCCTAGACCCTAGGACATGTTTTCCCCGCTATCCCCACCCACACCACCTTGCCCTCCCGCTTCCTGCTGTGCAACCACAACCTGAGCAGGACTCACCACTCTGCGCTGGAACCTGCCCCAGACACAGCCCTGAGGAGGGAAGAGAACAGATGCCAGGACTTGCTTTAAGGGACACTTTCTGCCTGCAGGGCCATGGCCATAGACATTTGCTCATTTTATTTTATTTTATTTTTTCCAAAGACCAAAAATAGCCACATATTGTGTGCTGTCATTTATATGAAATGTCCAGAATAGACAAATCCATAGAGACAGAAAGCAGAGAGAGAGGGGTGGAAGGAGGGGTGGGAAGTGACTGCTTGACCCGCATGGAAATTCCTTTGGGGCTGATGGAAAAGTCTTGGAAGGAGAAGTTTGCACCACATAGTGACTGCACCAAATGTCAGTTACAGCAAACTTTACATTCTGTGTACTTTACCAGAACAAAAAATTTGTAAAAGCAAAATGGATTTGTGGCCCCACCCTGTCCCGTTCCTGCCACTGCCCCTCTCTAATGATGCACCTATAAAGCTTTTAGTTGTTCCCCTGTGGATTCATAGGACACTGACTTCCTCAGTGGAGCAGAGGAATTGGACCTCTGACAATATTCAATACCATCCAAGTGTTTATTCAACAGTGTACAATTGTATGGGCAAGTATGGGAAATACTTGTATATTGTTGCATTTTATTCATTATACATACAATAAAACCCCAAATGCATCAAATAAATGAGTCATTAGGGCTGGGCGCAGTGCCTCATGCCTATAATCCCAGCACTCTGGGAGCTGAGGTGGGAGGATCCCTTGAGCTCAGGAGTACGAGATCAGCCTGAGAAAGAGTGAAATCCTGTCTCTACTAAAAGAAAAACTAGCCTTGCATGGTGGTGGGCATCTATACCCTCAGCTATTCAGGCGGTTGAGGCAGGAAGATAGCTTGAGCCCAGGAGTTTGAGGCTGCAATGAGTGGGGCTAAGGCCATGGCATTCTAGCCTAGGCAGCAGAGTGAAAGTGTCTCAAAAAAA